ACTAAGTAGTTCCAGCGTTGACCGCTCGATAGCGCCGCTTACCCGCGCTAGAAAAAATCAGTCCGGGAACTTTCCGGACAAACTGTGTATTATGTTCTTTCTTAACTTTGTTAACTGTCCGATTGACAATTAATGTACAAATCGTCAAGCAAACAATGATTGAAGCAAAAGCAGTTGCAGCAATGTACACAACGAAACTCTGAAGTTACCTCACAATTGTTATGCACACAAGTGGATTTATCGTAATCAAAACAGAATTGTACAGACGTAGTAAACGATTCAGAACGATCAGATGTGTAGCCTTATAAAATGCGTACTGACTCAATGGATAAAATATCGAAGCCTGAAACTAAAGGGCAAACGCTTGCAAATTTAATATAGTTGTCGCATTTCCATATCTCACAGTCTACTTCAAGACAGTTCATAATATGGCGCACAAACAATTTGTACAGCCAGAAATAGAACACATCCAACGGTTGGATGAGTTCAGTTGTGCCCTCCGGGATAAGTATTAGCTTAACCGGGATTTTGGGAAACTCTTGCTCTGAACCAAATCAAACAAATTATTATCTCTGTTAGAGCTCCAGTAATCAACAAGAAGACATTTTTTGACATTCGCAGCTTTCAACGGTGGCCAGAAAACATTTCTCAAGAAATATTCTAAATTATTTTTGCCCATCATTACCGAAGTACCGGCTCGAGCTAAAATATTTGCCGGTTGGACTATAGCCATATCTTAGTTAAAGAGAAAGCTTGTCGATAACACGATCAGATATAAAGGAGATCAGATTGATCATCCGCATTTCTCTGAACATCATTCTTCTGATCTCCTTCAGGAACTAATATATACTGTTTATTAGTTCTTCTCATTCTGTTACAGCGTACGAGCGTGCAAAAAAATGACAGCTCCGAGTTATCATTTTGTACGTGGCTGCATGTTTATTCGCGGATCTTTATTAATTAAAATCTCGGTAACTATTGCGAATCTAGCAAAATAATATATATAGGACCTTTTGATTCAGTTTTACTCCTACCTGTCTACAAGACATATTACACCAATTCTGGGACTCTATATATACAGGATTGGGAAAGTTACTTTATAAAAGTAACTTGTTATTTATTAATTAACTTGTTATTCAATTTTAAAAAGTAACTCGTTATCGTTACCGTTACTTAAAAAGTAACAAATTGTTACAATTTCCGTTACTTTTTTTGCACATAATACAAATGTTATGCATAATTTTTTAATAATAAAGTTAAATTAAATACTACACATTTAAATACTACACAGTAAATACTACAAATTTTAGAATACTAGTTTTTAGTAGAGTAACAAAAACGATATAATTTTAATAATAATTTAAAGAAAAGACACATAGCTTCAAAGATCTTAAAATTCAAGATGAGAGGCAGTTGAAGCAAGACACGGATGTTGTTGTGCAAACACGTAAAGGTGATTTTTATTTCAAGATGTAATGTGTATGTATAATGTGATACCGTTTCGACCAACGGTTTAGGTCTTTATCAAAATCTTTCTACAAATTCAATATAAAAACAATAGATTTCAAAGAACCAAAATAATTTTTAATACAAAATACGCATTGTAAAATTGATATGTAAACTTACGGTAATATGCTGTTATTAAAGTCGTCGTGTAACGAGATGAGGATACATGTTAACACGTGAGCTGTCAATTGCTGATTGAAATTTGAAAAATACATCAAGATGAACAGTAAATTCAAAGGTCGAAGCATGCGCAAAAGAAAGTTCAAGCTGTATTAACGACAAACGGTAAATATGATTTGTCTAGATTCTCCGTGTCGCTATGCAAATTGAGGCCATGTGTTTGTTTCTTGATGTATAGTGTTTCGGAAATTAATCGCTTATGATAGTGTTTTTCACAATCCAGAATCTTGACATTTTCCCACGAAAAATCGTGAGAATAATCAATTCTGTGATCTGTGAGAAATGATCCATATTAAAAAATAATCACACGGTTTAAATTCTGTCAAAGATTTGGAATTACTAGACACTTCTTATTTCAATATTTTGAACGTTTCTCCCCGTCAAATTCATGAAAACGACCACTGGTGGGTGGAGTATACTTCTGTGTCTCGTACTTCTTATCTCCGTCTTCAGAGCCCGACTACCTGGCATCTTAGTAAGTTCACTTGTGAGTTTTGTTTCTTGTGTAACATTGACTGAATACTCTTCTTTATTGTCTTTAGAATATCATCTGCAAGGTAACTACGCTTTTATGATTTCTATCAACAGTCAACTTTTTGCGTTGCTTTTAGACATTGACTTCGTTTAAATTATGTATTTCTTGACATCAATGTATACTACATATAATTTTAATTTTCACACCCACGATTGAAAAAGACTCAAGTTAGAGTCAAAATATTTTGTTTCATATTGTAATTCAAATTGTTAACCAAAAACTTGATCATTAAAATATTGTATCATATCGCATTGTTAACAAAATTAAATATTTATATTACTATATTAATGTCCTTAGTAGCTCGATTGACCTTATTTAATTGCTAATTTGTATTTACATTGCGAGCGTGTTTTTATATATTTTTTCTTACTAGAAATTAAATCATATATTTATTTACAATTTTATAGCAGTATTTATAATATAATGTATATGACTATAGTCAAAATAATACCTTTTATTCTTGAAAATATATAATCCTGACTTAAATTTTATAACAACTTTTTATCTTGTAAAAATTTGAAGTTTATTTTTTAAGTTATTAATAGAAATAAATGGCTTACCACACGTTGAGTACAAAAGGGCGATACAATTTATCATTAAACTTTTATGTGAGATGCCTGGTGCAATTACTTGATCATTATGTAACTGCGTACTATCAGTATAGACAATATAATTAAACTTTTGTTATTTTTTGTTTTCTATTTATTTCAAAATAAACTCTAACATATTTTTGCTAATTACTTTGTCTAAATACATAGTACAGGTTACATGTTCCAATTTTAAACTTACCGATGTAGCAAAATTCATATACAACAATTTTCCCGAAAAACTGCCATATTCAAAAAATAGGTTTTCAATTCTCTAAACCATATGTAAATAGAATTTACTAGTTTTGCACTCTTCAATTATTTCAATAAATCCTCGATCCATTATCATGTATTAATTTGCTAATTAGAGCAAAGCAAAAATGAATTTGTTCTTAAACACAAAGTAAAGTAATGATAATTCCAAGTCTTCGATATCTGGTTAATTCGTCTCCGAAAATCGAAAATGTTGTTTTCTTCTGATTGTGAAGTAATATGTCTTGAACAATTTTCGGAATTATTAAATAAATATTTTCTCGCGGTATCATTTACTCGTAAAAATAGTTATTTCCTTTCAGCTTCCTTTCACTAGATCAATTAGAACTCATTGTTAAGATTAATCGATGCGAGTTATGTGAACTGCGTATTGCGTTACTGATATCGTCATCGTCATTGTCAGCGAAGTTAAAAGACGCAAAGACTGATGAGACAACTTGTTATTCGTGAAAATAATTGTTCGCTAGACATACGAGTTTCTGCTTGTATTATTAGAAAAACACCTAATTAGTCAAAAAGGTATATCAGAAGAATAATCAACACGCCTTTGCCATAATTTGTACTTTTGATTTATAATCCGTAGATTCGTTGTAAGTAAATACAATTTTTTTGTTGACTCGTACACAATAACTTAATAGCGTCATCATAAGACATAAAACATTAGAAGTTAACGCTTGCGTGTCATAGTGGAATAAGCCCGTGCAGCCATTATTGCACCAGCAACATGCAACGCTGCATTTCTACAATCGCGCCTTTGCGGCCTTCGCAGTGAATGCTTATTCGCGCAAGCCAAGCGAATTCCTGGCAAGGTGCCTACTCAAAAAGCCGGTAAACACCACTAGAAGTAGAGTCCTCGCGAATCAAACGATCAGACAGATCTTCGTCCAATTCTCGGGCCGTTTTGTTTGTTGCCTTTCTTACAGACGAGCTGACTATTTTACATATATTTTCCTATTTACGTGCGAACCTTAAATACTTTGTCGCAGAACGTACCAGATGTTGGATAAATTTCAAGTATTTTCAAAAATAAACTTATAAGTATAAC